GTAGTAGTAGAGAGAAGAAGAGAGAGAGGAGAGAGAGAGAGAGAGAGAGAGAGAGAGAAAGAGAGTCATAAAAGTCGAGGAAATGCCGTTTTTCAAATGTCACTTCGCTCGCAGCGACGGCAAATACTTTAATGGTTCGACATACCAATCTCCTTGAATGTGGCTTTTCTACGAGCGCAGTATTAATGGATATTTGTGCCAAATGCACGCTCTAGATAAATATCACAAATTTTATTGCGTTAATAATCACGCCTAAGGCACAATTTATTTCTTAAATTATATTTAAAATATAAAATAACATCAACAAATTAATTTTCTGCTTAAAAAAATCACGTCTATAATAGTAGGAGTATAATAAGTTTTATAATGTTTTACATTAATAATTTTTTACTCTGCACCAGTTAATATTCCGTAAAAGTTCAGTTTCATACAATTACTTAAATTGATCCGCAAACAAAGCATGTTTGCAAGTCACTGCCAACAATCGAAGATCTCGTGCGATCTTATTGAAAAGTATATCCGCGTGTTGTTTGAATCTTATCTTTGTCCCTACGTTTCGAGTCGTGTCGCCTGTTCCTACGCTTATCTCGAATCGTATATCCAATATCTCTAGAATAGTATCTCGGAGGAAGAGCAAAATGCGCAGTGAAACGTGCTCGATACCGACATAAATAGAAGTAATCTTCAACCACGACGATGACGATGAGAAACGAGAGACGAAACCGCGCAGCGCGCCGCGCGCGCCGCTACCACCATTGGCTGAGAATTTAAAGGAGCTCGCTGTGCGTTAGATAAATGGTTTAATAACCCGAAAACGATAACTACCGCGCAAATGTCTCCCATAATTCGTACCTCGTGGAACGTAGTAGTGGCAACGACCGGCCCGAAACCGTAACGCCGCGTTTATGTGCCCGGGTGCGACTGCACGTGTATGCATTTCTCTCGTCCCATGGCGGGCTCATGTCCGCGCGCTAGCCGCGTTTGTACTACCTACTATTACAATGATTGCCACGGCAGCAATTATGCGGGAGATGGTTGCTCCCCTGCGTGATCATTAACGTCGAATTCTCTTAGCGCGGCCCGTAAGTCCTCGCGGCAACATCCCGCGGCGTCCCGCCCGCCGTTCGCGATAGGCACGACGCGGCGAAACCGCGAGGAACAACAACCGGCAACCGACTCTGAAGTTACTAACACAAGCTCGTAAGTTCTCGACCCCGCGAGCACATTTACTTTAAGGATTCTCCAACCTTCCGTTAGTTCCGAGTGCATGCGCGCCATTTGAGTTTACGTTGTATACACGCGCGAATATTGTCTTTAAATAAGTGTACTTTACTGCCGTAACGATGCCTAAAGCAAGAGCGCAGTTGAAAATAATATGGTTTGCTTTATGCGTCGTTTTTATCAAGGTAGGAACAGGATACAAGCAGGAAGGATACATTTGTTATATCCTGAAGAGCCGCGAAGTGTTTTAAGAGCTTCCGCGGGAGAAATGCATAGAGTAATAAAAATGGAGATTGGGGCACACTCCGAGAGATAAATGGCGTATAAAAGCTAATATTGATGAAGGTGCAAGAGAAAAATAATACTTGACATAGCAATACGGTGATCTCGCTTGGAATATTTCGATTCTCAATTTATAACTTTTGCATTATCCTTAGCTAAAGATGGCGGTAAGACTGCAATTACTTTTTGCAGCATGTCGCGGTGTATTTCCTCGTAATACACAGCTCACATAGAATCAAATTACACCGCTGTATAATATTTGTTATAATCCTATAGAGGGGAACGCATAAAATTTTATGCCATGACAAAATACCACTATTCCATTTAACGATCCGTGTAATTTATTACCCCTCCGCACAAAGAGCGAACATGGCGGTATTATAACCGAGATGTTTTCGTGCCAAACGTACGCGCGCATAACAAATATCTCGTTGCGATATCTAGGGAACAACCTCCTACGCTTGGGATCAGTTAATGTGAGACATATCACGACGCTTTCAACAACGGCGAGACCCTCGACGCCCAGATTTGCCTGAGAGTCCCACGAGGAGAAATCGCGCGGGGAAGCATTGCCCGGTGACGATCTTCTTGCGCGCCGGTGTATCGCGCCTTATTATACGTCACACAGACACGTGTATACGTAAACAGGAGAGTCATGACGTCGTCCATTTGTGCCTATCGCGCTTAACGTGTCGTTTAATCTGCAAGGCGCTTACATATCTCGCGTCTCCGAGTGAACGAACGAACGGACGGACGGACGCAGCGTTTGCACGAAGTGACAAAACCTGTTTTCAAGCCACTATCGAGAGGAGAACGCGGATGTGTAAAGGAGCAGGAGGGGTAGCTGCGCGCGAGGCCGAGGAACCAGAAGAAAGATCACATGTACGCGAACGGCAGGGAAAGAAAGGGAGGGCGAATTATGAAAGGGCCAGTTGGAACGGCCGAGGCATTATATCTCACAAAATATTCGCTTCACGAAACACAGGCTGCTCTGAATTAAAGTCGCGGATACGTAATAAAAACATACATCTGGATTCCGATATGTTTCTGGA